ATATAATACTGTATAATCGCTGCTCAAGGTTTTACTCCAAACATCGGTTTTCCACAATCTACTCCGGAGAACTCTAATTTGAAGCTGTACTTTGAAAAGCAAAAGATTGTATTAAAGCGGACAGTCTGGGCTGTTTTTAATCAAACACATGGAGTACTTTAAGTCTTTTGATCAAAAACATAAATTCCAAATAAGTTACAGTTTTAAAATATGAGTACAACATAAAAAAATTGTAAATGGTGAATCTTTTTTTTTTCATTTATAAATGATTTAAAGTTCCTCATATAAAAATATACTCTTCGAATTGTTTAGCAAGTTATATAAAGTCTGAATAAACAGTTCTGAATTCATTAAGGATGAAGTCCAGGAATAGCTCTGAGGTCTTTGATGGTCTCGGACCCCCCTTTTTGCTGTGGTCAGGACACACGCCATCAGTCCGAGCGAGGCCTAAACCGCTCTGGAAGGCTTTGTGTAAGCAGAGACCGCCGTGTGGATTTCTCCATCGCTTGTGGGAAATGCTGGATGTATCCAAACCTGATTAGAACTCTCTTGGGTTCCAAACAGGCTTATGTGTTTTTTGTTTGTTGTTGTTGTTTTTTATTTTTCTACAAAAACCTCAGAATTCTGTTCACACCAAGTTGAGTTTTTGAAAGAAACGAYGAATTCGTTAAGAAAATGGGAACTTGCGAGTGCAAAACAGACATTCTGTCACGTTACAACCACAAACTTCAAAGTATTTAGTGAAATTTTATGCATTGCTGTGGAGTAAAAGGGTGKTTTACATCATTCAGTTGTGGGCTATAAAGTGGAAGTGCAATACTTTGGTCTGTGAGCAACTCGTTTTGGTGCCGTCTCTTTAAATGTAAACAAGGCACTTCAGACCCCGCCCCCCTCCACCCTGTCCGGCCATTTTTGTAGTTTAATATGGATGTGAATATCTAGCGGAAGAGAAACTTTTTATTTACAAATTAATTAAAAGATGTCAACAAGGGAATGTTTGTCTATCCAAAGTTACATGTTGGAGCCAGAGTCACGAAATTGGTTAGCGGGAAGTCAACACAGAATATAAAGATCTTTAACCAGCAACAGGAGATTAAATTCAGCTTTTCTGCACTGCTAGAGTCTCCAAGTAAACAGCAAAATGTAGTTAAAGGCTAAAAATAGTGGATTTTGCATGAAATGTTCCCTTTAAATCTGCAAAGCATGCCATACTTTATATTCTGCCCCGGTGAACATGTTACCAGCTTTGCACACCTAGAAACTGAAATTTTGGCCCTTTCTTTAAAGTGCCTGTGACATGCCTATCCTTGGCATACAAAAACTCAAAGAAAGCATCTTTAAACTTAAGAAAATTGGCATAGTACATGTGATTTTACCTGTTTTGTCACATAACTGGCCTATTTTCTTTTGAATTTGGCTCAGCCAATATGAAACAGGAAGTGACATCAAAGGGGAGCTCATTAATAAAATAAAGTCTATGGTCTTATTAAAACAAAATTATTTTAACTTTAACTCTTCTTCATCTCTCTTTGAAAGCGACTAAAAATAATCTAAAGAAACATCAGATTCTTCTCTACAGTCTGTGTTGTTAGCTTTTATAACAACGCTCTGTTCACATGCTGACATTCCCCTTTGACATCACTTCCTGTTTCTTCACATGCAAATATCGCAACAACTGTTCACCTCAGCAACATGAAATGTGTTTTGAAATATGTCATCAATGTTATCTTTCCAAATATGCCTTCATGTTTATTACAAAACGTTTCTGTCACAGGCACTTTAAGGTCTCGCCAGATCCTGAATTAAGACTGGGCTGCAGTAACTCGTGGATTAAACCTTTCTAGCGTAGCTCTGACTTGACGCTTAGGGCCGTCGTCCGATTTAATTTGTACCTTTGGACCATGTCTTGGTTGTGTCACATCTTTCTTTTTTTTTAAATAGTTTTCACATGACAGAACAGAAATCTATTAAATATATAAAACATGGGACATTGTTTCATAATCTCATACAGCTTTAAACTTCTCTAACTTTWTCCCATCGCTTTTGATGCTGTGTGAGCACTATTGTTCACACAACACATGTAATTATGCATTACGTTACATAAAAACCCAGTAAAGTACTTTAAAGTTTGTGGTTGGAACGTGACAAGTAATTAAAATATGGGAGGAATTAAAACTTTTTCAAAGACTGAAGCTTTAAAGTCTTCAAGCAGTTTTACATAAATATGTTTCATTCAGTGTTTAAACAGAATACAGTGTAAGAGAACTGCTGCTGCCTCGTAAGAATCTGGATCTGGTTCACGGCAGTCCCGATATAGTTCAATCTATTTTTCATGTTTGGCGTCGTAGGAAAGAATTGCTGAAGCTGGAAACGTTCCCAATGCTTTTATGTCATTCTTTTAAACAGGATGTGGAAAATGTGCAAATTGGAATAAATTACTCCACTTTGTTTCCTCCAAGCTACTTGCAGGTGAACACCTGGGACTTCTCGCTGCAGGTGCTGCACTTGACGAAGCAGCACCAGTGGAACTTGCAGTCGCACTGCCACGCCCGCGTGTAGCGGTGYGCGTCGTGGCCGCGGCCGCAGCACATGGCGCCGCAGCCGTCCGCCAGCGTCGACGTGTCGTTGCACAGCCGGCCCCGCGTCCCAGCGCTCCCCGTGGCCGCGTCCTCCTCGCAGTAATTGGGCGACCGCTCCAGGTACACCAGGTCCGTGTCGGCGGGCTTCCGGTAGCCCCGGGCCTCTTTGACGCGCAGGAAGGCGGGCTGCCGGAGCCGCGACGCCCGAACCGGCTCCACCTGAACCGCCTCGCCGTAGCGCTCCTTCAGCGTACGGCCGACCTCCCTGAACTGCGGCAGCGTGATCCAGCAGGTCCTCGTGGTGCAGGAACCGGAGACACCGTGACACTTGCACTCCAGCTTCGTCCTCTCCTCCAGGATCTGCTCGGAGTAATAAACCAAACGTTATTTGAAGAATCGGTTCTTGTGAGCTGACGTTTCCACAGATACTTCAACTTGCTGCAACATGCCAACTTCATGTCAAAAACCTGTGGAAAAAGAACTCATTCCCTTCAAACCGTGGCCTCTAATTAACTACCTTTTACAGACCGCAGAATGGCGTGACAAAAACTGACCAGAGCTGTTGTGCAACCCTGCTCGTATAGTGTTACATGGTGGTTTCAGCCAGATTTACATTATAATGTCTCATAAATATTTTCAAATGTCAAAATAGACACGTGATTGATTTCAAAGGAAAGAAAGACCTCTTTTGAGGAAGAATAACATACGACAAGTTGGTCGTCGTCGTGGTTATCACTCATTTTTTTTAAGTTCTGCTTTATTAGCCTTTCAAATGTTGCTTCTCTGTTTCTTTTTTTTTCTGTTTTATTAAAAATAACGAGGATTAGTTACCTTTCGACCCGCCTCGTTGTTGTGAAGGTTCATCAGGCGGCGCGCGTTTTTCTTGACCTCACGAGCGTCCACAAAGCGGCGGGAAAACTCCACGCCGTACTTGACGTCGGCCGAGCAGCCCCCCCACTTCCAGCCCTCCTCCTCCCGGTCCTGGTAGCCCTGCTTGTCGCGGTCGCAGCTGCACTGGCTGAGGTTGCCTCGGCTGCAGGCCGCGGTCACCGCGTGGGCAACTCCGGCCGCCGTGATGGCGTAAGTGAAGGCTGCCTCCCTGCTGCCTGAAGAAAAAAAACGGTACTATTTGAATAAGAACCCCAATTTTAAAAAAAAAGTGTTGATTATCTCATATCTACATCTACGACAATCTGGTTTATCAGCACACAGTTCAAAAGCTTGCTTCTCTGATGTTATGGGGGTGCATTAGTGCTCTTGTATGGGCACYGTCAATGCAGAGTTTATCCAAATGACTTTATTTTCAGGGAAGGTCTTGCATATTTCAGCAAGACAATGTTGCTGCCATAGAATTCACAACATTTCACGCGTTTATTGTGACATTATGAATAAAATGTGGTTTCATSAAATTATTTCATTCTYTTCTTATTTACATTTTACACAACGTCCCAACTTTTTCAGAATCGGGGTGGCAATTATGTTGTGCAGAAAGAATTTGAAGAATTTTTTTTTTTTTTTTCCGTTTTGGCGTCATTTCTTGAGGTTTTAGTCAAACATCTGTGGCGTGCCTCAGTCACAACAAGGATAGCAGCTCCTTCTTGAACCCTGAGAGTCTGGACCCCGTCAGTCCACCCCGTCTGTTCACTCCCTCTTCTGCTTTTTCAGGAGCGAACCCCAGAAAATACAGGTCAGGTTTGGGTCAGAGATGAAGATAATTCAGCTTTAATTTGGGTTTGTGAGATCCCAATTCTCTGTAAATTAGAAGGGATGGACAGCTTGATCCAAGGTGAAATGTTATCGTTTTGAGGTTTTCTGGGTTTTGTCTTTGTTTTTATACTTTTCCTTTTGTTTATTGATCTTTATAGGTCTGTGTCCAATTTAAGATCACAGCCAAAAGACCTTAAAAAACACGAAAAATTACATATTTTAGTCAATTTTTCTAATATTGTGCTACAATTAAGCCGGTTTGTAGCTTGGATTTTGCATAAAGTTATTTTATAAGACAATCGTTGGCATAAATGGCAACAGAAGATAAGTTTTTTTGTATTTACTTGGTTCTTGCTTCTAATAATTTTCCCTAATTTTACTGTCTGAAGCGTTTTAAAGAGYTTTGTGTCTGAGGTTGGATTTGTGTTCCTGCTTTGGCTGTCAGAGAAATAAACACAAGGAAGCTCAAGTGACATCTACTGGCTGACTAGAAGAGCTTTTTATTTTTATTTATTTCCTTTTTTTTCTTTTGGCTGTTTTTCATCAATGGAATTTCTCACGCAGCTTACATGTGTCCTGCTGTTCTGCACGTCGGAACAATCTGCCGGCTTTGACTGAAGCGTGCCAGTTTCCGAGCCGTCCTGTGCTCCTATTTGAACTCGGTCATATTTATATTTATAGGGTGGAGCGAGGATTAAATTATTGGCACCGCAGTTGGGAATTGGATATCCTCTCTCGCTTCGAGCAGGATAATGCAGAGCCTGTGTTCTCCTCAACAAGCGGGAGTATTAATGCGTGGCGTCTCTGTTTGAGGCGATTCTGATGGCCCCCTTCCAGCCTGACAGACTCGTTCGCAGAACCCATCAGGGGCTGCGGTTCCCCCTCCGGTCCATAACTCAAAACAAACTCTAAAGTCTTCTCTCATCAAGCTGAATCTGCGTCCCGTTTGGATACATCATGCGGTGGTGGTTCTCAAGGCACCAGGCGCGGGCCAAGCAGCCATCTTTTCGCGACGTGATTTGTTTTGATTGAACAGCGGCTCAAACGCAGGGTTCCATTGTTGCCATCCAGCTGCTGGAGCTGACTTCAATTAGTGGTTTCTGCATGGATCTCTGGTCTTTTTCTGGGCCTAATGAGTCCGCAGACCCTGCAGGTCGATCACACGAGCCGGTGGAACCATTCAGGCTTACATTAGATTTGTCTCCCTGTAAGCAAAATGTCTAATGAACCAACAGATCTCCATAATTCATTAACATTTTGGAACTAACCTAATTGAAGATGGCCACACCCCGCCTTTGATCTTCAGCTTTAAACCAGACATGACAAAAGCGAAGAAAACTCATGTTTCCTTCGACAAAGGGAATAAAGAGATCCAGACGTCGCTCCAAGATCTGCTCGATTAAACATGGATCCAAACCCACAGCCCAACCGCAACAAAACATTTCAGACTGGAGGACGATTTATAAGAGAGGCTCGCTTTAGTGACGTCTGTGAGAAAGAAGACCGGGAAGAATTTGGTTTGGAGATGTGCAAACCAGAATACAATGGAACATCGTAAACACATCAAAYGTTAAAATGAAGGAACAAGACATAAGGTCGGTTTGTATTTAAATCCTGGATGCTCRCTGTGGTCTTTGGTGCCCTCAGCTGCATTAAAAACAAATCTGGGGACTAAATGCGTTTTTACACCACGCCTCCATAAAGACGTCTTCGTCCACTTTGTGGAAATGTGCTTCGTGCACATCAGCTCCAGATTAAATCTCCATCTGTGAGCCRACGGCACTGAAACCTCGTGAGCTGGAGCTCGTTCCCACTTCGTGGTCGATCAAATCATTTCAGTTTTGCCTCTGGAACTTAATCCAGATGGCGGTTCCACGAGATACGAGGACGACGCGCCACAGAGCGTCATCCAGCTTCGCTTTGGGTTTAGATAGCCCACCTGTTGGGACGCAACAGGTTGACTTTTAGTCTGAATTTTTTTTCATCTTTGATCCACAAATAACTATACAAATTACACAAYTCTTTGCACATCTGTTACATCTAATGTATTAGAACCTAAGCTTTCTAGCTTTCATTTCAAAATAAAAGTCAGAAACTCAAGACTCCTAATTCTGCTGGTTAAAGAATCCAGAGCTTCATTAACTGTTACAAAGTTTTTTTTTATCCGTTTATGACTACTGGTTTTATGTTTTTGTGACGTGGCTAAATTAGCCATTTGTCAAAACTCCCCCCAAATTAAATCTTGATCCACGATGAGGCTCGACCCAGACTTAGGGAATCACTTGGCCAGCTGTGACCCTTGAGCCATCTTAATCTGAACCTCATAAAAAAATAAAACAACCTAAAACAAGATCTATGCCGTCTTTTTTTTTTTTTTGTGTCACCAATCAGCTTTTTAGGCCGAGTTTAAAATCAAAGATTGTACTGATTTACTTAAAGGGATCCCCGATTAGTTGTAACATTAGACATTATTTAATAAACATATATTTTAACTGTAAAATAAAGACTAAAAATACTGTAGGCTGTTTAGTTTTTATATTTTTTTAAACTAAAAGTTTAAAAATAC